GGAAGTGCATTCCTCAGGATACTACTTCCACACATTCAGCCCTCGCCATGAACCAGCAGGCATAGAGAGAAAAGAAATCATTTGCTTGAAATGGAAAGAAAAAAGAGACAAGTTGATGTCCACAGTATACCTTGGCTACATTAAAAAATATATATTTATTTGAGTACATGATATTGTGTAGCCAGTTCTGGAGGATATAAATTATTGTCAAAGGGAAAAACAGCCATGTGGGTATTAAAGTGATTATTTAAATTACAAAACTTATACGAGAATTCATTTTCTCTTTGCAAACTTTTTTGATAGACCAGCTCTTTACAATACTTTTGTGTGTGTATGTTTGCACCTAGACAGAAAATACTCTCCTATCAGAGGTCATGCAGTGACTCACACAACAAATAATACTGTCACTGCTTAGACTCCCAGGAAAGCAGCCTGTTCAACTTGCAGAACCAGTCCTAAAAAAAAATCTCAAAAAACAAAACAAACACAAAAAACCCAAACCTCCCTCTTTGGCATTAAGGCTATAACTTACTACTTTGTACCCTTCCTCCCGGCTCTTTTTGATATCCCAGGCAAGTTCAGTTAAAGGGACATTGATTATGACAGCAATAGCATCAGATAAACTCTCCTAGATTACTCATCCTCTGTTTTCTCTTAGTCACCTTCTCGGTTTAGCCTGTGAGATGTTGACATCTTTGTTGATGTCAACACACTTTAGCGGTATTACTGCTCAGACAGACACACTGTGTGTTCTTCAGCCCCTTCCACATACTATGTTACCAAAACTACAAAGCATATCTCAAGAATATATTGTAGACCATCTCCCTTTCCCTGCTTAGAACCAAAAAAGACAAAACAGTCTTCTGAAACAACAGAGTGAAGATGATGACTTTTGTAGCAAAAGTGCTGATAGACTAGCTGAAGACACTTTTCTATCTAACTAATCAGAAAAGCCTTTAAAAAAAAATAATTAAAGCACGCATGAAAGTTTTATTTATGTGTTATGGGGGAAAGTTGTTCCAACTAAGCTTTCAAAACATCAAGATTTCTGAGTTATGACCACATGGTCACAAACCTTGAGAACACCAAACACCTTACAAGAAGTCATATGGATAACACGCCATTAAACATTTAATTACTGCACTCACTGCACAAATGTAAGCGCTTTATTTCAGACTTCCTCTTAATAATTCTTTGGCTTAACTAGGTCCTTTCATGACATGCTTGGGGCGGGCAGACCCGACCCAGAGGTATCTCCATCGCTAAAACGGTGCCTCGGCATCCACTGCCGCTTCACTTCGTTTGCGATCCCGAAGCCCATCAGGACCAGGCACCAGACCTCACACAGGGAAAGGGCATGGCTTCAGAGGCCGTAGGGGGACCTACCCACGCTTTCGGCAAGAAACCCTTCCCACCGCTCCGGCCCCAAGCACTGCGCCGCCTGCAGAGGGGTGGCTCCTCACGCCGGGACACGGCCGGGACACGGCCGGGACACCCCCGCGCCCCCAGCCCGCCCCGCCTACCTTGCGGTGGGCGCTGGTGTCGTACTTGTCGTTCTGGAAAGCGCGCGCGTTCTGATGGCGCTGGGGCCGCGTGCGCGACACGTTCCCCCGCTCCGAGCTCATGCCGGGCCGGCGCCGCGTGCCCCGGAACCGCTCCGCGGGCCCGCCCGCGCTGGGCGGCGCCGCCGCGGCTGCGCCCGATTGGCGCTGCGGCCCGAGGGCCCCGCCCCGGCCGCCCCCGGCCGCCCCGGCAGCCGCCGCGCCGGTGCAGTCTGCGGGCGAGGCGAGGCTGGCGCCGCTCCGGAGGCTGCGCGGGGCGGGCTCGGCGCTGCCAGGGCCGCGCGTTCTCCGGCCGGGGCCGGGGTGCTGACGGCCGCCTCCCGCCGCGCCGTTACTCAGCACAGCCGGCGTCCCCACAGCCCGCCGACCCTGGCAGTCGGGAGAGCGCGGGGCCGCCGAGCGGAGCGCCAGGTGCAGGTAGGGGCTGTCCTCCCCGGCGTCGCGGGGACGGACGGTGTGCGGGTGACCCGCTGCCGCGGTGTGTGGGCGAGTTGTTTCCTCCTCGCAGGTCCGTCCGTGTCTCCCGCTCCGCTCGGACCCGCGGCCCGTCCGCGCCGCCCGGCGCAGGCGTGTGGCGGCCCCTGGGGCGAGCGGAAAGGCCCGCGGCGGCCGCCGGCGTTTCCTCAGCCAGCGGGGCGGCGCGGCCGCGGGCTCCGGCACCAAGCGGGCGGGAACCTGCCGGCCCCGGCCACCCTCCCTGCCCGCGTCCCGGTGTCGCTGGGCTCGGGGGTCTCTGGGGTTGTCTCCTGCCTCGGGGTGCCCTGCTGCTGTGGGCGATGTGTCCGCATGCTCCGGTCTCCGTGGTCTTGTCCTGGACTCCTTTGTTGGAAGCGGGCGCCCTGATTGTGACACGCTTGTTAAAGTCTGGCTTTTCGCGGCTCCAAACAGTCCTTTGAGTCACTGCTGAGGACTTCGGCGGAACCCTTTTCAGATGCCGACACAGTTAATTTAGTTCCCGCCAGCCTGGTTAAATTTATTCCTTCTCCTTCTGCTATTGAGGGAGTGACGCTGGCCTCAACATTGCTCTCAGGTACCATTAATAAAAAAATTTAGAGTGTTCGGTTAGTAATTAACTAGGAAAGTTCACGACTGCGGAAATCCGAGAAGAACCACCTAATTTACGCAGAGCGGTGTTGCGGGCGGAGCTCCGTGTCGGTGGCCGGCCGGCCCGGGACATCGGGCTGAGGCGGCTGGAAGGCAGCGGGGCTCTGGCAGGATGGTTTCAGCAGGGCAGCTCCGGGGTGCAGGGTCTTGCTGGGAGCATGCAAAACATTATGTAATCGACTTAATCGCGCTGTTGTCTAGCTGGAACCTTTAGAGGTTTAGTTCTTTCTTCGGGTGATAAAGAATATCTGGATTTTTCAGTTCATGTTTCCTGTATTCCCTTTCTTTTTTCAACTGTGCTGTTGGGTTTTGATCTATACAAAGTAACCAGCAGAGGGTAAATAGTGTCTCTCTATATAAGTTATGATAGCTAGAATTTGTAGGACTAGCGGGGATGTTTATGTTCCGCATCAAATTAACCAAAGTAAAGTGTTGGTTCCATCAGGCTTCTCTGTTTTCATGTAGTATACTTTGTCCTTTGAAAGCTACCTGAAATAGTTACTTCACAGTATTTCTTGGTGTAGCGTTTCCGTAATTGAATAGACTTCCTTTGTATTGTTTTCTGGACTTACTGTGTATTCTTTCTTAATATTCTCTCAATCCTTTTATGTGGTACTTAATCAGACACTAACGATTTCTTTTTCACTGAACGTTTTGTTGCTTTAAGTGTTGCACGAGTTAAAGGATGTTCATATCCTTCTGTTCCATTTTTAATATAACACAGGTGTTGTAATAGATATTGGTACTTAAGCAGCAGCTTGAACACAAGTTTTCATTGTATTATGTTCAATGAAAGTGTGAGGGAGAAATGCTTTAGAATTTCTTGTTTCAACAGTGTATGATGAACACTAAAGATGAAAAAAAAGCAATCAAACAACAAACCCACACCCAAAATACACACAAACGGCAACCAAACAAACCCCAAAATTTTAACATCTTGCCCACTGTGGTTTGAACAACACTTAAACTTCCAAACCAGCAACAAAATTTATGAGTTTGACTTTGTTCTTATGAATAGTTCTCATGAAATAGGTAATTTAATTTAAATAAAAATTATAATATTTTATATTTAATGTAAATATAAAACTTCTAGGTAAGTGTTTGCAAGGGTTGGGCTGCTTTTGAGACTAATACATAATGAAGTATTCAAAGATGTGAATAGCAGGTTCCACTTTCTTGTTGTTATGTGTAGAGATAAGAGGGCAAGAATAATTACTCCTATGAAAAACTACATTTGTGTTATCTTAGAAATCTCAAGATAAATACTTGACGTATTCTTTAAGATTAAACAGACGTTTTCCCCTTTCTGTCAGCTTTTATGAGAAGCCTAATTGTCACAGAATGAATTGAAATCACTGCCTGTGGGCAGTTTCATATTTGTAATTTTATGTGTTAGGTCTTTACTCATAAGAGAGTTAAAGAGATAAAACTGATAAAATGCTCTGACTTTCCTTTTAAAAGCTGTACCAGAAGGGGTGGGTAATACAGCTTGGTTCTCTTTTACTTCTTAGCCTCTATTGCTGCATAGAAGAGTTTTCTGCAGTTTCTTCCACAGAATTTTCATACTTAATTACTATGAAATACAATGTAACTTTAAAGGGGATGTGTATTTCTTTATTGTGTTCTTTTTGTTGTTAGTATGTTTTGCCAGATGTAAGAATTGTTTGCAGAACAGCACTGGCATTTTTATTACTACTGAAATGTCAAGTAGAAGGTGAGATAGTTGTGTTGTTGGGATGTGTTGATCTCAGAATCTAATGATGCTGTAATGAGCACAGAGGTTTACATCATACATCCTCAGAAGGTGTTAGACTATACCTTAGGTATTCACAGCATATCTTAGTCAAATGAGTCCCATTAGAGTTACTCATCTGAACTTGTGGGACCATATGCTTAAAGTAATCTGGTCAGAGCTGTTTTTGCCTCAGCTTCTCTAAGGATCCAGATAAAGCACACATCCAGCTTATTCGCGCTCTCATGTGAATATACAATTCATCACAGTGAATGACAAACGAGTTCCAGTATAATAGAAACATTGTTTACATTTAGTTGGAACTATTCTCCTGTGTAAATTTGATGCCTAGAGGAGCTGGAACAGAGACTACACAGAGTTAAGGAGAATAAATGGATATTTATTGAGAGGCCTTCAAAGGCCACACCCTGGCAGTGCCAGTGCCACAGTCGTGGCCCTTGCCTGGATGGCTCTAAGATGGAAGCAAAAGAGGGTTTGGTCACGAGATCTCACACCTTCATAGATTTTAGTCCATTTGCGTGCAGGAGTCAATTGTCCAATTAATAATCACAAATCGTGAAGTTTCATCCTCCTTGCTTGCCTGCGTGCCCGCCCTCCTCATTTCACATTGTTTATGCTTAGGGCCTGAAGTTTGAAGAAACTGTCCTTTAGTCCTTAGCTGGAATAGGACTGTTTTGTCTTGACCACCCGAGCACAACAGAAAAGCACACCTAAGGAGAACAGAAAAACTTAGTACTTAAGGCATCAAATTCAGTCGGTGTTTTGTATCAAATTGGTTCAGTTAGTGACCTGCAGTTTTTCTTGAGTCTTCTGAGTGAAGAAAGTAGCATGTATTTCTTTTAAAGAAAAGAGTTGTTATTAGCCATGATTTAGTTGGATAATGACTCTAGAATCAGAATATTTTGTTTCAGTAAGCATATTTTCCATTGGATTAAAAAGATCAATATATAAAGCCTACATTAGTCTAGCACAGGGGAGGCATAATACTTCATCTGTGGTCTTCAGCATGTCATTTGCCATATCTGGTGACAGCTCATTTTTAGCACATTTAAAGTAACGCTATCTCGGAGGACAGTACCACCACATCAGCTGATTTACTGTGGTTTACTGCAGTACTGTGCTGTGTGTGAATCCTGCAGGCCAGTTTACAGACTTCTGAAATTATTTTGGTGAAAAATAGAAAATATTTTCTGAGTGAGATCATATTTGTAGTGTTGCTGGGCTTTTTATACTTAAAAATAATGTAAACTCATCTTCTAATTCTTTCTGAGAAGTGGATTTGGAAGCTATAAGAAATTCTGTAGCTATAGTTGTATGCTGGTATAGAGTGCAATCTGCTGTTCCTGGGCAGAAACAAACTATTTATATCTCACTCTTGGAGGTGCAAATTCTTTGAGATTTTTCACGAAAAAGTAATACTCAGCCCCTTAGAATAAAGTATAATATCTAACTTTGCCTTCAGCGTTTCTAAAAAGGTAGGAAAACTCACTCGGAACAGATTCATTTAACAGTTTCTGATAGAAATAGAAGTGATTTTGAGTATTGGGTCATAAGTACTTGGAAAAAAAGCATGTTGAGGCATCACAGGAGTTTCTCTGGATTATGAAGATGAACTCATTAAGTAGAGGTGAAAGAAGTTGCTTCTTTGGTGCTCATAACTATAAGAGAAGTAAAGAAGGAACAAATACACACCACCACCCTCCAAAACAATTTTTGAATTTTTACTTTGCATAAGTCAGTCCAAACCTTTTGCTAATACTTAGATTTCCTCCATAGACTCCATCCACTTATCCTGACTTGTGGGTATAACTGAAACTTAATGTTCACATAATCTCATCTGATGGGGATGAGTTATTCCAAATTTGAGTGGCTAATTGTGCTGATAGACAAGATTATTGTTACTTCTGCTGGCAGGAATATGGCCTTTTATTCAGGATCTTCTTTAAGAGCCTATCTACCTTCTTATGGGAGCTGATCAATACTTCCTGCCATATCCTCTAAACTGCAAGTGTTGATCTCTCATGTCTAGGCATTTGTGGTTTCCCTCTGTTTTGAAGAAATCTAGAGACCTCGGGTGAAAACTCTTAGCTGCAGCAGCCTCTTTTTTTTTGTGCCCTCTTTTTATGTAGTATTCCACAAATGCTCATGGTGTTTGTCAGACTGTCTCACTGTGCCTGTTTTTGCTGGTCTAAAACTATGCTCCATGTAACATTGCTTGCCGTATGCTTTCATACTTTACCACCAGGAAGAGACCATTCACACATTCAAAAATACAGATAGTTGTTCTGTGATATATATTGAAGTGTTTTTGCAGCACTATCCTTGAAGTTTTTTATAAAAGAAATTTGCCATGAAAACTATGTTTCTGTACAAGTATAAGAACAAAATTTGAAATCTATAAATACGATTAGGTCTCATGGTTAGCAGTAAGATTTTATTGTTGGATGACCCAAATACTTCTGGAACAGCATGGTACTGTACACAACTGAAATCTGCTTGTTTCGTAGCTTGAGTCAAAGTGAAACTTGTGTTTATGTTCATAGGGAACTGTCAGGAGATGAACTTGAGACCTGTAGATAGATATGCTATGGAAAAGTTGTGTAAGTTAAGATGAAATGTCTGATGGTTTAAAACAAGGAAAGTAGAGTAAATGCTTATCTTTGGTGGGCTGGTTTCCATCATGGTACTTGTCAAATTTCATTGGTCTTCTTATTTCTGGGAAAAAGTATTGCTGCAACAAAGAATTCCCCCCTCTCCCCTTCCTACTCATTGCTCTAAATTGAGACAACACTACTTTAAGGGCCACTGTATCTTTACCTAGCTTCATTTAGGTGTAGGTGTGTTACTTTTTTTTTTGCCTCCCCCCCGCACTGTTAAAACCAGTGCTTTGAATTGGTGCTATAGATTACACTTTAATAAATATCTGTGATAGAGCATTTAGTTTGGGATGTGTTTCTTAAAGCATGAAAAAACCTCCAATTTTGTAATTTATGCAATCCCAATTCCTATGTGCAATACAGCTAAGAATTTATTTGAAGGTTTCAAAACATTTATGTTGGCAAGTATGAGGAGCAAAGATAAGTTTATGGTTACATTTTCCTGTACCAAAGCTCTACGGTGTTTGTTAAGCCAGCAGCATCATCTTGTTTTGTCTTCTAATACTTCTGATAGTGCATGCAGGAGCCCATACCTAATGATCACAATACACATTCTTTTTTTTAGGAAATGCTGTAGTGATGTTTAGCTGCAGAAATCTGCATAACCTTAGTATGCTGCAACTCTGCAATATATTTTAATTGTTCTTTATCACATGTTGTTTGTCGGTGGGAAGAACATTTTTCTTAATGTCTTAAGATGAGGAACCTCATTTCCTCCAAAGAAACTCCAAAACTCATGCTTGTTCTTTCCCTGGGTAGCCAATCATGTTTTACTTTTGATATCTGGCAGGCTTTAGAGTCATCACTCCTCTTTAATAATATACTCATTGTGAAGTAACTAATAATATCAAATTAGATATTATATGGAAATATACATATATGTATACACATATACATATATGTTAAGTCTTTGTTTTCTTAAATGTTCGAAAGTTACGCATTATTGTCTAGAGGCGTTATTTTTATATATTTTTTAAAGCTGAGGCTTTTTTAATGTCAGATTGTACTTGGAAGCTGATACTATTTTCTTTTCCCATTTCAGACTTAGAAGATGAATAATCTTTCCTTTAGTGAACTGTGCTGCCTGTTCTGTTGTCCACCATGCCCAGGGAAAATTGCCTCCAAGCTGGCATTCTTACCTCCAGATCCCACATACACACTCATGTGTGATGAGAGTGGTAGTCGCTGGACTTTACATCTCTCAGAGCGAGCAGACTGGCAATATTCTTCTAGAGAAAAAGATGCCATTGAGTGCTTCATGACTAGAACATGTAAAGGCAACAGGATTGCCTGTATGTTTGTGCGTTGCTCGCCTAATGCCAAGTACACTTTGCTCTTCTCACATGGAAATGCTGTTGACCTGGGTCAGATGAGCAGCTTTTATATAGGACTGGGTTCACGGATTAATTGCAACATATTCTCCTATGATTATTCTGGATATGGTGCAAGTTCTGGAAAGCCGACAGAGAAGAATCTGTATGCTGACATTGATGCTGCTTGGGTGGCTCTTAGAACAAGGTAAGACATTAATTGCCATTTTTATTTTGCAGCATGCTTGTCAAATGGTTTTATTTCACAGTAGTTAAAACAGCAATGCTGTGATTTAGAATCAGTGGATTCGTATCCAGGTTGACTGGTGGTGCCTCGTGCTGAAGGCATTGTCAGTATTAAGCAGGATCAGTGTATATTACTTACATACTGGAAAAATTGAAATTGAATTAAATTTAATAAGCTGTGACTCAAATGATTAAAAGATCATCCTTATTGTCATAGTTTGGAATCTTCTAAACTCCAAAAATTAGAAAGGTGGGAAAAATCCACAATAATTGATAGCCCAGTAATTAACCCACTGTTGTGATGTAGGTGCGAGAAAATGCAGATTGTTTCTTCAGATAATTTCCATCACCTGCTGTTTTTGTAGAGAGGGGCAGAGTAGAAGCTGGTACAAGAGAACTTGGTGAGACTCTATTTCTGTATGGTGTTGAGATAGAATTCTGAAACGAAGGTGGACAAGCAGCTACAGCATTTCCAAAGGGAGAAACTTTTTTTTGCTTTATATAGAAAGCTATCTTCACAAAATATAATGTATGGGAGACGTTGTAACTGATCTGTGTAAATGACTTATGGTGGTAACAAAAAAGGGAATTTGGAGCAGTGGTGTTAACTCAAGCAGAATAAAAATGGACAAGGACAAAATGCAAATGGAAAGATGTTATTTCAGTAATTTGTGTTCTAAGCCTCTAATTTTGTGGGGGATAAAATAGCAAGATGAAAGACTCTGAATGCATTCACTGATATAGGTGAGAATCCTAGAGAATCCTGCACCAAATAAATGTGGCTTCTCTAATTTGAGAGCAATTTTCACCATAATTTTTTCCATTTAGCTTAATATTCTTCTCATGTTACGAATACCCAGACTGCAAAAACTATTTTTTAAAATAGTGTGCAATCATAACTGCTCACCAAAAATCCCAGCACACTCTCTACTTTACACCAAAAGGATTAAAAACCTAAGTGTGTTGTTATGGCTTGGTCATTGCAACTTGAGCATCCTTTTTAATAATTATAGTACCAGGGATATGATTTAGTGTAAGGGCATGTGGACTTTAAATCCTGGATCCTGGTGACAGTCCCAGTGAGTTTAGAACCTAATATATAGTATTAATGAGCAGATTACCCCTTTCCAATGTTTTAAATACACATTTAGTCTTGCATTCGTTTTACATTATAACAACATTATGATGCTAAAAACATTACATGGTTTATGAACAGTGTGGAAGACACTCTGAATTATTTAAATGTGACAGAAAATGGAAGAGAACTAGATGGTGAAACATGATACTTTGTCAGTTTACAGGCTCTGCTTTATAAACTAATTTGTAATTATTGTCTCTGGTGTTGCCTGCAAAGGCTGACCTGGAACAGAGCCTGGGCAGAGCAATAGGAATAAAAGAGGTATTTATTGAAATGATACATTTTGGGCAGTGCAAGTGCCGGCAGGGACTGCACCCAAATCAAATCCAAGATGGATCCCAGTAATGAGTCTTTACACTTTTTGAATTTTTGGTTCATCTACATATTGGCGTCAATTATCCAAACACAGCCCTGGGCTATGAAGTATCAGCCCCCCGGCTGGCCCCCTTTCCCTCGCTGTTCCTTATGCTTTTTGGGTACCGGTTGTCATGGGTTCTCTAGCTAGAAAGGGATTGTTTTCTCTAACTGCCCTGTGAAGAGAACTTACTAACACCTGATACGATGTTCCAGAGTTACACACTAAGGAGCAGAGATTCTGAAAAATCTAAAAGCTAAAACCCAAGGCATCGCTGGCAACCTCTTTAACATTTATAACTAGTTCCACAAAAACGAATTGATTCAATGGGTTGTTTGTAGGATAAATGTGAGTATAGCTGTAACTCCTTGGAAATTCTTGTTGATGAGGTAAGAAAGGGACCCTAAAGTTTTAAACAGTGTGCCTCACAGTTTGTGATGTGTTGAAGAAAAGAATGGAGAAGTTAACTTTGGAGATTGATCACAGTTACCCATAGCTCCCTGCATTCAGTGTTCTGAAAAATGGAATCACAGAACCCAGCACTAAAAGGCGTTTCTGGGGTAATTGAAATCCTGATGCTGTCTTAGTTCAGTCAACAAAACTGCTTGTGGTATAGACTTGCTAGCATCTTAAGTTTTGTATCTTGGAAGGACAATCCACATACTTACCTGTAAATCAGCACAGTTGTCCAGTGGGAACTGGACACCTGGAGTGAAATAGTCTGGAACTCATACTGAGGGTTATGATGAAATTTTGCTGTGAATATTAATACTCGTGTAAGTGAATACAGAAAACTAGTTTGGCAGCCTATCAGAACAGGTAAACAGCAGATGTAGATGCTGAGTTGTGTCCCTGTTCTTTCAGTATGTTAATAGGAAGCAGTAGCTAGCTATGTGGATGATGGCCATAAAAGAATGTGGTGTGATTCACTGCCTTCATCAGGTTGGAAAAGTTGTACATTGTTGCATATTCATGTGCATGGGACTATATAAAAGCTGCAAGTGAGGACATTGTTTTTCCAGCTGTCATAGCTACCAAGTGTTGAAATACCAGGAGTCATTTTGGGATACGCCTATTTTCTGCTGTTGTGGTCTCTGAAGGCCTTTGATGACACCCTAGTAAGGGTGGAAAGGTTTAACCAGCCCCAGGCAAATGCAGGGCAAGTGGCAGTCATTCAGAAACCTCTGAAGATGTGCCAGAATTGCCTCATGACCAGATTTACCTGTGAGAAGCCAAACAGCCCTTTCATTGTTGCTTATCATGGACTGCATAATAATTGAAAAATTGAAGGGTAAATCTCACCATCAGATGATGTGTCAAAGTGGACAGAATGTCCATAAATTGAACAGCCAGGTATAGAAATAATACTGAATCTCTTCGGATGTTGGCCAAAAGTGTTAATTTGATAATTCACAAATTACTTATTTTTTTGTTCAGAGGTAGGAGGGGTGGGGTTCAGCTAGAAGTTGAGATACGTAACTTTGTACATTTGGAGAGAAATTGGGATTTTATTTAAGTTGATAGAGAAAAGTATCTCAATAACCATGGAAGAGAAATCTTGGCAATAGAATAAGCGTATTTGCAGCACTTTAAAGTTTAGAAGAGGTGAAACTGTCATGAGAGTGGCAGAGAAGATGCAGTTTGTTGATTATAATGTGGACAATGGGCTTGCCTCTCATAAATTATAGTTCATTTTTTCTTCGCCCAATGTAAAATATTGTATGCACAAGAAGGGGAATGCACAGTACAGTTGAGGAAGAGCTGTATGCTCCTGAATTTTATTCATGGCCTGGAATGTTGATAGTTACACATGTGGAAAATGCCCTTCATATTCTGCAACTTGCAGCTGTAATTTCATGTGTTACGTCCATGATGACAAAAGATTTTGAATGTGCCTTGTAAATTCCCTCAGGATGTTCCCCCTTGTTCCATGTGCCCCAAGTGCTGTGTTAGTTTTCTAAATGTGTGTGTTGCGATAGCTTCACAAACTGTAGCTTCTTAAGAGCATCTAGCGTAAGCTTAAAGAGGTACTATGGAAAATGTACCTTTCTAAGCTTGATCTTATCAATACTTTATTTCATTATTGTAAAGCAATAGAGCCTTTTAGATTAAGAGCTGTAGTTCAGAAGTAAATATAAATTACCTTGTCTCCCTTATGTATATCCAGATCAAAATGGTAGGTATTTTTAAGAGCCTGACAGTGTAGCATGGTAATTTCTGCTGGTATTTTTTTCTTAAAGGTAACAAAGTTAAGAACCAAAAACAAAGAAAAAACCCAAATAAACAAAAAACTCTCCCTACCTTGTCATATCCAGACATGCATTTTATAGTTTGCTTATTGGACATCATGGCGATGTGATACATATCCAGTGAAAATATAAAATAAGGTGAATATCTAATGTAAGTGATGTACGTCCAGTTAATGTGTTCAAGGAAAGGTCAGACAGCACTTTGAGCAACTTGATTCAGTGAAATATTACCTCCCTATGCCAGGGTCCTGGACTGTATCACATTCCAACCTAAACTGTTCTATGATGCCATGAAGAGAAAAAAAGAGAATAGAGGGACAGAGAAAAGGTGGACCACCAGTAAGTAAAGTGCAGGAAAGATCTTGCTACAGAAATATCAAGAAAATAGTGGAAGAGTTTCTGTTAAATCATATGAAGTTCATCACCAAAGGAAAAAAAAAGAATATTTCATTGCTGTTTAGCAGTTCTTTTCCTACCAGAAGCTGAAAAGAACAGGCCAGGAGTGTTTAGGGTTGCCTCTTTTGCAAGAGGCCATCTATATCTCGTCAGGATATGTAGGGCCACAGAAAAGGATCCTGGCTTCATTAGTATTGGGTCCTGCTTCCAGGCAGTGGAACAGTTGGAACGGTTGGCTTGCTCCTTCCTCAGCTCACCGGTGGCATGGTGTTTCCTGCCTGTCCCTTAAAAAAGGCAACATAAAGGAGCACAAAAGCAGTTGCTCCACTACTCCCAGACAATATTTATTTAGTTCTTTTCACTAACTGTTAAAGCCTAATGAAGTGGAACACGTTGCTGAAGCTGCAGATAGGGAAGTGGTTCTTTTCTGTTTGGCAATAGCTTAGCTTTGTAGTGACATCAACATGTGCCTTTAGCGTGGTGATGAGGCAGAAATTCGTGAGCACTCACTCTGTGAGAATGTCAGGAAGCTTACAGGAGCACAGGTTCTGTATCAAAACTGCTCTTTAGATTCTATCTGCTTTCCAGGCAGATAACCTGTAAGTGTGTGAACATAAAGGGTGTTGAAAGTAATTGAAATCTCAGTTGCTCTGGGAAAGGGAAAAATATTTCTGCAGTTTAAAGGCTAGCTGCACCATCTGTTTAGTTTTGTACCAGATTCTGCCCAGAATAACTTGTCCATGAGGAAGAGAGCTTCCTCTGAGAAGGTACATCGGTGGATAGTTACTTTCAAGGTTTTCTTCCAAGGTCCTTTTTGGCGATTATGGCTTTAAAAAAATCGCTAAACCTAGAAACTCCTTCCATTACCTTCACCCCCACATTGAAGGTCTGTCTATGCTGACACAAGTTATCTAAGATTACTTGAGTGGACAACAGTGTTTACATTAGTCCTATTATCAACATAATGAGCTTTCTAAGATAGCAACAGTCTTTACAGCATGTCTTTGACCTCTTGTAACCAGAGGAACTACTTGAAGCATATGGCTCTGTAAATGTCATGTTCCACTTCCTCAGAATGGCCTGTGCTTATAAGGCACTGATTAAGAGAACAGTATTACTGAGACTTTTTCTCTTGATCTGGTGCTCTTCCTTTGGAAGATCAGGTATGTAATCATCTGGTAATTTGACACAAAACTTGGAGTTTAACGGGCTACGAGTCTATCAAAAGAAGAAAACAAATTTTGTGAGTAGGGAACTTCAAAACAGTTACCTTTCCAAGATTTTTTTCTGTTTTGGATTATAAAGTGGTACTTTTGAGAGATAGCAACAGAGGGACAGTTGGGCTTTTTCTTTTTCCAAACATTTCAGAAAGCCTGTTGTATTGGGCTTGCATGGTTAGGCTTTGGTAGCAGGGGGATACATGGGTGCCTTCTGTGAGAAGCTGCCAGAGGCTTCCTCCATGTCTAGCAGAGCCAATCTCTGTCAGCTCCAAAGATGGAGCTGGCCAAGGCTGGACCAATTAGAAATAATGGTAGTGCCTCTGGGATAATGTATTTAAGAAGAGGAGGGGGGGAAAAATCATTGTGCAGTTGTAATTTCAGCCAGAAAAGAGTGAAGTTAGAGCATGTAATGGGAACCAGACACTTCAGACACCAGGGTCAGTGGGGAAGGAGGTGCAGGAGGTGCTTCAGGTGATGGAGCTCAGATTCCCCTGCAGCCTGTGGTGCAGACCATGGTGAGGCAGATGGGCCCCTGCAGCCCATGGGGATCCACAGGGATGCAGAGATCCACCTGCAGCCCACAGAGGAGCCTCGCACCAGATGTGTGAGGTGGATGCCTGAAGGGAGGCTGTGACCCCATGGTAGACCTGTGGAGAGAGGGGTCCTGCTCCTATGCTGGAGCAGCCTGACCATGAAGGACTTCAGCCCATGGAAAAGGGACCCACACTGCAGCAATTTGAGGGAGACTATTGCCTGTGGGACAGACTCACATCTGAGAAGTTCATGGAGAACTGTCTCCCATGAGAGGGATTCCATGGTGAGCAGGGGAAGGACTCCTTGCTCTGAGCAGAGGGAGAAACAACCCATGATGAACTGACCATAACCCCCATTCCCTGTCTCCATGCACTGCTGGGGTAGGCTGTAGAGCTGGGAAGGAGAGGGGGTGGGGGGAAAGTGTTTTTGAGGTCTGTTTTACTTCTCATTATCCTGCTCTGGTTTTGTTAGTAATAAATTCAGTTAAATATCTCTACTTCTAGCTGGTTTTGCCCATGATGGTATTTAATGAGGGATCTCTTCCAGTCCTTAGCTCAGCCCACCAGCCCTTTGTTAAATTTTTCTCTCCCCTGTCCAGCTGTGGAGTGGAGTGAGGGAGCTCCTTTGGTGGGTGCCTGGCATCCAGCCAGGGCCAGCCCACTAAACCATTTCAAGAGAAAAGAGAAGACTGGAGTGGGCAAATGTAATCTCTGTTTTCCAAGCTGCTTGGAGTTTGTTATATGGGAGGCGGGGGTTGATTATTTAGGTTTTCAGCCTCTTCAAGCCAGAATATTCAGAAGTCTACTTTAAATCACCACTTCTGGTTATTGACCTCTTTATTTTAGTTTACAGATTGCAAAGCATGTCGTTTCTGGCGGCCACTGTGAGGCAGTCTATTTGACTACGATGGAGTAAGGATTACTTTACTCCAGATATTGTAAAAGCTTTTCTTGGCTTATTTTCTTGTAGCCGTCATTTATCTATCTTCAGGCTGAAGGAATCTGATCAAAATATAGGGGAAAGAATAATGAGAAAGAGAAGACTATATGTTCCAAAATATACATTTTAAGTTGTGCTTTTAATTCCTGTGTAATGGCCTGTATCTTGTAAAACTCATCCAAGGAAATGCAAGTGTGGTAATTGGCAAGGTTTATTATTTGAAAAAGCTGTTTTATCGTAATGTGCTGTGCAAAATGCATGCCATACTAGTGATGCAACATGTCAGGCATTAATGCAAATTTTGTTCAGATTATGTGGGAAGGAGGGAAGGTTGTACTGTACTTTCAGGATGGACAAATGTGATGTGAATTGGGAGACGAATTGTAAAATGATAGGTGCTAAGATGTTCTCAGGTGTTTCAGAAGACATGCAGAAATAGTGAAAACCTTAGATTTGTTTTTTGTTTCAAAGCTTTAATTTATTGTTTTTACGTGTGTTGGAATTTTCAGAAAATCTTGTAAATGCTTGAAATTGCTTATTTTTTGAGAACTGTCATGAGCTGAAGGGCTTGCTAGAAGTTCCAGGCTGATGATGAAGACTTAAGAGTTTTAGAAGTCTTAATTTGATCGTAATCTGATTATGACTAGAAGCTCTTTCTAGGAAACACTGACAGTAATTAAGTAGTCATGATGCAGCAAGGTTCCTATGTCAAGCAGAGTCCGCCTCTGTGCTAATACTTTAAAAGCTTTTACATTTCACTCTTATCAGAACCTAATTTAAATAAACACATGAATAATTAAATAGACAATGTTAGATGTGAACAGTGGGTTTTAAACCAAAGTTAGCAAGTTATTGGCATGCTTAATGAATTCTGCTGCTGATATGTAACATGTAAATCTTCCTAGATATGTATTTTTTAATGAACTGTTTATTATATACTGATGCAACTTAGAGGGCATTTTTTCTGGCTTATTGAGAAGTACTTGTGAATTTGGTAATTTTGGTTTTGGTTGGTAATTTGAATGGTACACATGAAGCACCTTTTTTCCTAATGTTGCTAATTTTTTAGTCTTTTAGTCTTTTTAGACTTTACTGATTTTAGTGTTTGGTTGCCTATACACTTATTTACCCGTGTTTGTAAGATACTGGAGAATTTCTTTATTACTTCTGCTCCCCTGCCTTTACTGGAGGTATGCAAAATATACTGATTTGGTAACTTTTTTTGTGGGTATGGGGATTGTTATATGTGTTGACAGAAAATATGCATTCCTTTATTGTTGACAAGGTAACTGGTGCACTTTTCTACACTTGATTTTCATTCCTGTTAGAGTGGCAAACATCAGACTTGCCCCATGTTGTTTCACAGTGACATTAGGCCTAGGCTGCTCTTTATGAGAAAAATGATTTGGGTTTGATTTTTTGATTTAGTTTTGGGGCTTTGAACTTTTTTTGGAGGTGATGGGGAGAAGTTGGTTTGTTTGGTGCATTTTCTGGAGTTTTGAGGAGGGTGGTTGTTACTTTTGGGTTTTTTTCAAGGTACTTCCTTTCCCAAGTTTAGATATGCTGCTGCAGTCTGACCTGTGCTAAGAGTACCTGGTTAGTAGAGGGCAATGGATCAGCAGCTCACTTCTGTTGCAGGCACTGTTCTTTTTCACATTGCTGTTTTCTTTAGAGGCTTTTCTCGTGTAACTTGGGTAGCAATTACTTTTTGTATTCATACTAATGCCGAAAAATATATTAAACTGACTTGTCTAAGTGTTAACTAGATGTTTCTTTTGTTTGCCCTTGTTAATTGCATCTTACTAGGAGGGAGGCTTTGACTTCAATTCTGTATTCCCTGTTGGGCTGTCTTGCTTATGGATTAGGTTGATAAGAACAAGCTTCTTGGCTATTACATGGAGTGCTCAATATTGTTATACTGATCACTGTCAGTATGGGCATGCTTTAAGTCTCATTAAATTTATAAACAATGTTACCAGCTTGCAGGTTTTGTCAGGTATTAGAAGAGTAAAGCTTAAATTTTTGCAGGCTTGTTTATGCTTCATGTGATGTAACCTAAGAGCTATTAAGGCTCTAATCTGTTTTTTATTTTCTGTTGTAGGTCCGCTGGAGTTAATAGTAAAGAGTTTTAACTAGTATACAACCTATACTGCATTCACAAATCCATATTTTAAAAATCAAATCATTATTTCAATATAATTCAGGCATAAGGAAAAAAATACTGCAAATAGAGAGTAAATAAATAATTATTAAATTAAATAATCTATTTTAGTCAGGAATGTCATAGAACACACTTGCTTGCTCTTCTACCAACTTCTGTTTCATAGTTGATACTCTTCTGAAAATTTTCACTTTCAGAAACACTTTTTTTGCCTTGTTCTATAGGTTTTGTCTGTTTCACTTTATATGCCACTTTTGAAACATTTCTAATTTTCTAGGTATGGGATTCGCCCTGAAAATGTGATTATATATGGCCAGAGTATAGGAACGGTACCATCTGTGGATCTTGCTGCTAGGTATGAAAGTGCTGCTGTAATTCTTCATTCTCCACTGACTTCAGGAATGCGAGTAGCTTTTCCTGATACGAAGAAGACGTACTGCTTTGATGCATTCCCAAAGTAAGTTGTAGGATTTTTTTTTTTTAATTTAGCATGCATTTTCTTTATTACAGAAGTTTTCAACTAAAGAAACAAGTAATCTGGCAAATTCTCTGAAAATTTTTCAAAAATTTAGTGAAACAAATGGAGAAAAATCAGTGAATAACACCAAAGAGGAACATTTAATTTCAAGAAGCTTACAAAACTTTGTAAACATTACAGGCACTTTGCATCTCTAATTATTTTAGTGGATATCTGTAAAGCAGTAATTCATTTTCCTATACATAACATATAAATCCCTAGTTCTAACAAGTAGTTCTATCCAGTGAATTGTTAGTCTGGATAATTGTGAACAAAGTCGTTTGCAGTATGTTTCTCTAAGACTGAAAAACTAAGTAGATCTTAACTGAAGAAAATTCCTGTCATGTATTTCAGAACAGTGCTGTTGTTTTCATAGATATAATGTTTTTCTTACAGCATTGACAAAATTTCTAAAATAACGTCTCCTGTCTTAATAATCCATGGAACTGAAGATGAAGTAATTGACTTTTCACATGGCCTGGCGTTATTTGAGCGTTGTCAGAGACCTGTAGAGCCACTGTGGGTAGAAGGAGCAGGCCATAATGATGTGGAACTCTATGGACAGTACCTTGAAAGATTAAAACAGTTTGTGTCACAGGAACTGGTGAACTTGTAACTTTTGTTGTGTATTTACATGTTTTTTTCATTTCACTGCAGAACTGCACACCTTGATAACTATGTAAGTTAAAACCTGAATGTTGTGTTTTCAAATCATCTTGGTTGCCTTCATTAATTGTACAGGTAGTGATTTGTCAACATAATTAATGAAGGTTTTAATGCCAGCATTATAAACTGGAATTCCATGATCATGCAGTCAGACTTGGCAGTTTATATTTCTTTGTGTGAGGTTTTTTCTTCTTAGATGTAAAGGAAAAAAATCACAAGGAGTACTGTAAGAAAATTTAATTATGTAAAACCAAATGCTGTAAAAGTGTTGCCAAGTGCTTTAGCATATCAAAAACAAGTTTATACATATTTTTTAAACATCTCAAGGTGTACTGTGACTTACTCTGTTGCACAGGTGTAATTAAAAAACAGACTTCTAAGCAGCTGTTCTGTAAAAATGTAATAGCCATGAAATTTGAGCAAATACTAATGTATGTAATAAGAACAAACGGTCACTGAAAATTACTCATGCCCTGTTACAGGGAGAGGGGTGCAAAATAGATATATTTTCCCATATTTTTCATTTCTTTTGTGCTTAGATTTCCTTTAGTTATTTTGTACTCGTGTTGTCCCTTAGCTTTCGGGTTAATGTACCCACTCATTTTCTCAGGAGTCTTAATCTTGCCAAAATAATGCCACAAGTTATCATAGTTGTAATGCAAGTATCATTCACATGATTACTACTGAGACCACTTCTTTGAAAATAGGTGAAATACCTCTTTGAAACCATTAAGACTTATAAAACCTAGAAGACTTCTTGAACCATGCAGTTTTAAACACTGATTTTTCTAGAGCCACAGTGTGTCATTAAGAAGAACTTTGAAGTTTATCCAACATTGTAATAATGAGTTTGCAACTTAGCAGTTGTCTGATCAGGCTTATTTTGGATGTTTAGTGTAAAAGCTTATTGTTTCTTGAGTATTGTATGGAAATTTTACTTATCAGGCCTGAGTGGGGTGGGAGGAGTGGCAAGAAGATAGTATTGACATTTTTCTATTAACTCATCATGAAATAAATTTAAATTGCCTTTCCCTTGAATGCATTGTGCGTGAATAAAACTATGAAAAATAAACTTAATTATTTGTAGCCTAATTGTAAACAAAATAATATTCCAACAATACGCACTGTGCTTTTAAGGCCTTACATAGTTTAATTGTTCTGCTTGTTTTTTGTGATTGAGACTATTGTATTCTTAAATGTAGCTTTGAGTATTGTGAAAACTTTGGTTAAGATGTGTTGATAACAGTAAACAATATTCCACAAATTTGCAGTTCTTCCTTTTTCTTTTTATTCAAATAAATAGCAGCGGTTGCTTGCAGTATCAAAATACTTAGCAACTCCCCATATATTCAAGAAAATCTGACATCTAAAGCAATAACCCATTGTTCTGAATTCCCAGCACATTTCTTTATCAGCAGCTTCTGTTCTGATCACCTCCCACCTCCATGCCTCACCTTTCTACCATCTGCCATTCAGCACACAGGCTTTCTGCTGCAAAGCTGCTTGTAAACTTTTCTTCTGTAATTAATTCTACTATTTTCTTCTTTGAAGTTAAAAGGAATTCTTGTCTTGTGCACTTTGGCGCATTAATTGAGTAGAAAAAAGATTGTTAGGTTCCTGTTTGATTTTTTTTTTTTTTTTTTTTATTAAGGATGATTTAGTGACTTCTGAAATTCAGAGTATATTCAGGAACAGCAACATTAGACTTGAGAATTTTCACCCTAGTTCAAGACTTTTAGATACATGTGTGTAACTCAGCTCTATAACATTGTATTTAATACATAGTTTGATTTCCTTTTCTTACTACCTTCTAGCCACTATCTCCAATGGAAATTATTACCATTAAATGTTTAAATGCTTTCTTTGTGATGAATAAAGTTTGTTTTGAGATTCACCTTCAGGAATTCACAAATAAAGAGTGTAGAAGTGCAATGTTAAGTGATACGTATTGGCTGTACTTTGGTTGCCTGCCTATTGCAGGCAACAACTGTCATCATAAGGAGTTGTCAGATTGTGCTGGGGATATTATGGCACCCTGTAATTGAAACAGACATAAAAGGTGTCATAGCAGTTTTGCTGCTTTTGTTCCTTTGTTTTGTTGAAACAGAACAAAAGATCTGACTAACAGTGTTTTGTCTTCAGTACGTGCAGCTGTGCTGGATTGCAGTAGTGAGTAGAGCTTCTGGTCTATTTTGCACATTTATGCATGGTTAATTATTGCCAGTTTGTGCTAATTTATGTTTATACCTGTATTTTTTTTCAAATAAGTTGTATACATGAAGGAATTTAAATGACTTTTAGGCATAGCCTAGTCTGTAGTGCAGATTGTATTATGACAGCAAACTTGTTAGTGACAGAAAGCAACTCTGAGCTGTTGCAACGATGAGGAAAACATTTGACATCCTGATTGTCTTATCCTTATACCATCATTTTGGTGAAATTGACAATGGGCTGTTGTTTAATGTTACAGATGCAATTGTCTTCTGATAAATAAAGTTGATTCAGCATTCATTGAAAAGACAATGCCTGTATTTTAGGGAAAAAGAAAAGAGTGGTTTGTAAGCCTCGTGGTGTTATTGCCTCGTTAGTCTTTTTTTTTTTTTCTCTTTAAGAGATGTATTTGACAGTAAACTGTCTTTTCATTTCTGGAAACCTTGTCAAATCAGTTTTCAAAACAACTTCATATATGTACAATATGTAATTACGTACTAAAAGTGGCATGTATTTGGGACATGTTTTACTTTTACAATCACAGCTCCATAAAACTCCCCTCTCTACTGTCCACTTCTGGCAGAAAAGAATTCTAGTGTATGTTCAGTTATCTGCTCTTGTTGATTGATTTTAAACTTGCTTTCCTTTTCAAGACCTTTTATTGGGGGAAAATATGCGTGTTTATTTTTGGGCTTAATTGGGTGACATTGGACAACAAAGTAGTGCTCATATGGAATATTTCAGGTCATACAGATACTAATTTTTCTCACTATGCTATAGGCATTTTTAGTATCTTAAAGTCAGAAATAAGGAAAATGGTGTGTAAGTACGTGATTGGTTGAAAACTTTACAGAAAAGGATCTGGGGACCCGCTGGGACCGGCTGCACATGAGCCAGCAATGCACCCTTTACGCCAAAGGTGAACAAGAGCATTCCAGGTCTGATAGGCAGAGATTTGCCAGCCGGCCATGGGAAGTGATCCTATCCCTCTTCTTTGCACTGTAAGTGTAGATGTGTGTGAAATGCTGAATCTAGCTCTGGGCTTTTGCATGAAGAAGATATGGATCTACTAGAGGAAGTCCAGTGCAGGGCCATAGCTATGACTGAAAGACTGGTGATCCAGCATGGGAAGAGATGCTAAGAGAGCTGGAGCTGTTCATCCTGGGGAAGATGTTTGTCAGGATACTGACTGTTGTGTGTGAATATCTGACGGAGGGAGTGGAGAGAGTTGGACGTTCCCCCTGTACTGCCCTCTGAGAGGGTAAGAGTCAATGAGGACACACTAAAAAACAGAAAATGTAATCTGAAATTGGAAGGCTTTTTGGTTTGTATTTTTTTATGAAGCAGGTCAAACACTGGGACTGACTGTGGAGTTCTCATCTTTACACATAGTCAGAATTCAGCTGAGCACAGCTTTAGGCAGCCTCCTATACCTGACTCTTCTCTGAGCATACAAGTAGACGATCTCAAAGGGTTCCTTTCAGCCTTCGTCGTTCTGCGTACACCAGCTCAGAAGTGGAAACTGTTTATTTTTAAAAATTATCTTCGTTTGCTGTTCCCTATTTCTGATGCTTTATTTTAAAGCAACAGGAAGCAACAGAAGAGCCCTTTTTCTCTTAGTCCTGAGACCATCACTGTTTGATGCATTGCTGCTGAGTCAGACTAATACCAACTTTTGTATCACAGTGTCATCAAAGATCACAGATTGCTGCAGTGAAAAGAAAATATAAAAGAAAGGTTGAAAACCTAGAAGTGATGTATAAGCATGCTATCCTGAAAAGAGAAAAAGTGCTTGAAAGATATCTTAAACATTGTCAAAGATGAAAATGTTGTATTCACAGCTACTATAAAGTTATGTGATATGGTGGGTTTGGGTTGTTTCAGTAAATTTGGGTAATAAAATTGTTCTACTTCACCTGATTAGCGTTTGTAAAATAGAAATGAAAATAGTTTCTGGGGAAGTTTGTCACGAGCTAGTAACTGTCAGGTTCGCTCACCATCACTTAAACAGTTCAGATAACTCTGATTGTTAAAAGTTAGTGTGAAAAGCTTGAGTACCACCAGATTGAAATGTCAGCATGGTATAACCTTAGAGCTCTTAACATATGGAACTTCATAAGCAATTTAATTTGTAGGATTATTAATCGTAAAATAGCCATAAAAGGAAACAATGATTCCTTAATAAATTCTATAGTATGATTATAATAATTTCTACACTCTATCTGGGTCCTTTTTTCTTTTTAAAACTTCTCAGTTAAGGTGTCTTCTTTCTGTGAAATGAAACAAAATCCTAGAAAACTTCTGGTAAAATGGCAAGGAAAATGTTTTAAGAAAGAGGAAAATGCAAAAGAAATTATCTTAACTACAGCTTCCTCTTCCAGTGAGGAAGGGCCAACCATAAAAAAATTATCTCAGCATTAACTTTATCCCAGGGGCATTAGTACTGTGTCTTAATCTAATAATGTCTTTCAAAATAATGAGAAAACCTTAAAATGGTCTTGTTGCTTAGAAGAGGTTTTGTGGTTGGAAAAGGAGGCACCATAAAAATGGTTGTTATTTTAATGTTTAGTTTTCAAATTTTTTTTCTTAAAGAGGGCAAATAGCTTTCTAACCTGCAATGAGCACTGCAGAGAAGACATGAGAGAGACTTTGATGAGACAGTCAATACACCTTCACATTAGGCTAGAAGCTGTGTGTACCTCAAGTGGATAACTGCCTCGTCTCCTAGAGCTTTAGGTGAATGCAATGGGAACGTAATCACGCTGTCATACTGGGACATTTTTAATTTTCCAAGGCCACAAAAGTTTTTGCAAGAAGTTTTTTCTGGAGCCAGGTAAACGTTGGATTGACTAAAAGTGTAAAACTACTATGCCAAAGATCCAAATAAGCCTTAAGCTAGAACAGCATTTGAAGTAATTTGATCAGTAACTCATCTATTAGCTTAAGGGCACATAATGGCACTGCAGTTCTTTCTCTAGCACCTGAAGTATTGCAAAGGTGCCTGGTTGGCCAAGTTATCTGCTTTTAAAGGTCTAAGTATACTTTAAATGTGAATGTTGTACATTTATGTAAGTCAGTATAAGTCATTCTAAGGAGAACAACAAGTGTGTGGATAAAAATCACCAGCAACTTTGCAAGAGCATTACTGATTTGTAGACACATATGATGCATTCTGATTTTGCCCGAAATACTTCTTAAAAAAAGTTTGCGAGGTATATTTGGTAGATGTTGCACCCTTTTCAAAACAGGAACAGAACTATCTGGTTTAAAACAGCCTCCCAGGATGGTGCTGTTTTGTTGCATCAATGGCAATGGTTTAATTCATTAGAAAAACATTCACAAAAGATTTGGGTGGTAAAATCTGAGTGCTGATGAGTTTTCAGACCTTTCTGCTTCTCAAGATGGTACTAGTTAAATATATAGTTTACTTCTTTATTTTGTATTTGCGTGGGTGTATCATAGTGTATTGCATAGAGAAAAGCAAAGCAATGCATGCCTTACTTATCAGAATTGTGTCGTATCAGAATTCTTTTTGTGTTGCAGTATCATTTATAGTTAGCAACAACCTTTAATAAAAGTTTCTTCCTGTCAAAGATTTTATGGCCTCCAAAGTGGTGTAACACAAACTACATGCTTAGAGCCAGAACAGGAGGGTAGACCAAAATTGCAGACTTGAAAAAATGTATGAGTTCCCATTCTGCTGTATTTGTAGAGCCCAGCATTGTCTAAGTTTGCCCATCATAGCAGGTGTGTAATAAATACCCTGTCATATTACTTAGGATTCTGAAACAGAAAGAATTTGTGTCCTGGTTTGAGACAACTTGAAGGAGAACACTCTGGAATGAGCTGCCTTCCTTCATAGATTCAACCACGCCCTTTCCACCAATAAGTAATGAATATAAGTAGATGTGAGTGAAAAGGTAAGTTTACTGACAACGGGGACAGCAGCAGTCAAGAAATAACACCAAATGGCCACCAGATACAAAACTGCTAAACGCCGCAGACTCCACAGAACGGAGAGACCCAAAATGCCAGGGACGGCCCTCCAGGATG